TTTAGCCAGGGAAAAAAAGAATAATTAGGCTGTGATTTACTCTGGTAGTCAACTTACATTAACAATTTTCCCCCATGTTTTTGTAATTCTGGCAAAATCAAATAATATATATGGTACTCATATATGCTGGGCTAGATTTAGTAAAGACAATTTCCTACACTACATCCAGGACATTTCTCTTTGCTTTCTGTTCTAATAAGACAATCGAGTTGTTCTGTGTAAGGAGGGAATATGATTGTCATGCGTGGCCTCCTCAGTTGGAATTTTAGTGTAGTCTTCAATGAGTGTGGAAGGATTAGTTTTTTAATTTCTTTTAAGCTGTCATCCTCCTGTAACAAGCTGTATAGCATGCCTGCTCTCTGGAAATGGTTCACCTCACATCCTAACCCTTCTTCCCAGGGATAAAGTGTAAATCCTGCAAACTCTCAGTGCCAGAAGCCATCATGCAGTATTGGCTCTGCAGTGGATGCACAGCTCCCAGCTCAGCAGCACAAGAGAGTTTGGGTTTGGATCTCTAGCCACAGCTGGAACAAATCAGGAAAGGTGTTTAAGATCCCTAAAGTTATCCTCCTAAAGTTGTGTTCCTGCTTTTAAACAAGTATCTTTTCCAACTTCTCTAGAACTGGAGTGCTGTCTACATTAACTGACTAAATAGGGATCTGGGAGCCAAACCAGTCACCAAGGTATGAAACTGTCAGCCTCAGGCACTGAGAACAGAAGAATGAGTAATGGAAGACAACAAAAGAAGAACAACAGGACAACCAAAGGAAGTAGAACTAGTGAACAGAGGCAGAAGGTGCCCAAAATCACATGGATTCCAAAAGTAGAAGCCAGAGGCAAATTCAAATTTACCTGAGTCAGTTTGCTCAGACAGCACCACCCCAGCACTGCCCATTGCCCAAAAACCCATCCTTGCACTTCTGAACCAAGTTTGTCCTGTGATTCCCTCAGGGAACATTAACACACAGAGCACTTGAGCTTTCAATTAAAAAGCATCATTGCTGAAAGCATTATCCCAAATCTTTAAAGGACTCCATCCCAATTGGGCTCTGCCCTGTTATAAATTTATAATGAGAAGGCATTTCCCTAACTTTTCTATCATTATTAATGAATAGGTAAATCAAATGGAAAAGTAATCCCAATGTTACAAACTAGAGTCACTCATGCTTTGCTCCCAGTGGCACCATGGCAGAGCAGATGCTCCAGTTCTCTTGGGGTGGCCCAACAGTGCCTTATCACACAAACCCTTCTGCTCTGCCAGCAAGGGTACACAACACTTCTTAAAAGCAAAAATGATTGGTTTAATATTTTCTCACTAGTTTTAGCCACAGAGCAGTTTCTTTCTAGGTCTGCTTAAACCTCGTCTAACCTTTAAGACTATTCTTTCCCACGTGACCCATGAGAGTTGTACGAAATGAGAAATATATCCAAACAGTAGCTGCAGAAAATACACAGAAATAACTCGTTTTCACTGAGATGGGTTCATTTGTGAGTTCTGGCTTTCCCCTGAACTTCCTCCCCTGAAGGACTGGAACAGTAATACCAGTACAACAATACTTTTTCTCCTGAAGTGGAGTAAATCAGTTCCTAACTCTCAGCAGTAAAGTGAAAATTAAGATGAAAAGGAGTATAGAATGCAGAAAACCCCTGTTACTCCAGAATAATACAATTTGCTGCTGATCTTCAGTTGCTAAGATAGGCACATCAATTATTTATAGAACTCGGGAGTGTGAAATATGAAGTTTTTGAGCCTGGGAACCACGAAGGTAAAGCCAGGAACACAATCCTGTCAGCACTGGCAGACAAGGACAGAATAGGCAAGCACAGAATATTTCTACACAGATTACCGTTTTTATTGAACTACAAATTGCAAAAGGTCTCTATGAAATGCCACTTTCAGTGTTAAGTGAGCTGTAGCCTCCTTTTGACAGTGTCAGTCTGTATTTAATGTTTATTTAACATTTATCTAAAGGGCCATCTCTGCCAGGGAAACAATGTACAGTAAGTTAGCATAACTTCACCTGAATATTTACAATAAGCCAAGGACCGTCTTTTGGTTCTGTGCTTATGTCCATCAACAGCCTGTCACACACACTGTAAAACCTGCTCCACATGACCAAACTTAGCCAATAATCTTCACAATCAAAATTCCAATTTATGTTCTCAGTAGTGATACCAAAATTTATCTGCACAAAAGCGCTTATATGGTTTATAGCAAGTTTGTTGAGAGCAAGTATCTGGATTAAAACTCCCAGGGTTGCAGTGAAAGGTTGTTCATAGCTCATCTGAGGAACTAAAAGGTACTATTCAAAAACACCCACGATTTCTTAGTGAAAAACCTAAAGGAAACCAAATAAAACCCCAGACAAAAATCAGAAAACCTTGGAGCACCAACTTCTAGTAACAGCCATTGATACATGGCATGGCCTTACTAAAATGCCTTGGTGGGTCCATGCAATATTCTATCTCAAATAAAGTATTTCAAAGCTGGAGGAATTCTAAGTGTATCTCCTCCTCCTGCCTTGCCTCCAACTCTGAGGGCAAGAGCTTCAAATACAGTGACTAAGAAATTACAGAAAAGGACTAGCACTGAACTTTCAGATCAAAGGATACGGAGTGATTCACGTTCCTTTCCTGACTGCTTGTGAGACGTGGGCTAAACACCAACAGTCAGGTGCTCTGAAAAGCTCTGAAAAGTTCAGTAAGAGAACTTGCATCAGCAGTGAGGCTACAGGACCCCAAACAATGTGACTCTCCCTTAGTCAGGCTCTCTCTCTCAAGAGCTCTGTCTGTCAGCCCATGTCACCAGAGGGGTGACACACACCACCTTCCACTGCTGCCACTGCTCACCAATGCCAGCGTTTGCAGAACACCCAGCAGATCAGAACAGATACTGCCCATCGCTCTCCTGACTGAAAGCCTGAATGCTGACACAACTGAGGGAAAAACCAAAAAACCACAAGCTAGCCCAGCAGGCTACTGTCTGTCCCCAGGGTCACACCAAATACCACGTGCTGGAAGGAAGCAGAAGCAGCGAGGACTTGGCAGCGCCTGAAGCACAATGCCTGCAGAAGTGATTGTGCTGATGCCAAATCTGGTCCTTTTGGAGCTTTCCAGCCACTGCTGAGCGGACAGCACGTGTTGCAATGCTGGAGCTGGCAACGGCAGTGCTGAGCACAGCTAGTGGCCACTGGCCACCTTAAAGCACCAGCACCATGTGACTGCCCTGAGCCAATGTTTAGCAGCATGAACAGTAAAATAACACATCTATTGAGCCCTCAAAACTGCAGCAAATATTGAAAAGCCTCCCTGTTCCACATTTCACCCGGCCTTGTGGGTGTTGTAGCCACCACTGCCCTGTGCTGGCTGGGCACCAGGGCCCCAGGCAGGGACCAGGAGGAATAAGGAATGGCTACACGACCTGGCTCTGGGGAACCAGCACTCCTGTAGGGACACAGGTCCTGCCAGCACTGGCTCTTCTCCAGTTTTACAGAGTCAAAGCTCTCCAGACTGATGATGAAGAATTTTGAAAGCCAAAGAGTATAAGAGATTCACATCCAAGTTTATGGAAATAGCTGAAAAATACATCAACAGCCTTCATATACACGTATGCAGAAAAACAACTAACAAAAGTATCAGATCTCCCAAAATATGGATTGACAACAATAGAAACTTGCTAATTACTATTTTTAGTATCCTTAAATTCTCATCTCTGGTGCTATTAAACTGAAAATTCTACAACAATGGATTTGAACTGTAAGACAGCTTATACAAGTTAGGACTGTTCCAAAAAAGTCCATCAGCATTTATTCAGCACATATTTTGAACACAGGCAGAGCAAAGAGCTCTGTCCATGACAGGCTCTTGTCATATCAGGGCTGGAAGGCTCCAAGCAGACCAAGAGCTCTGGTTGGCCAAATGGCACAAACACCTGAACTACAGGTAATTCCTCCCTGATTGCTGTTTTGAAAACAACATTTCCAGCAGAAATTACATTATATATATCAACCCATCACATAGTACTGACAAGATGCTCTGCTTGCCCCAGAAACACCCTGTGTCCCACACAGCTGCTGCTGGAGAGAGACGAGAGGCAGGGCAACAGGCAGATCATCACTGCAAACCTAGAATACTTGCAAGGAGAACATTTGCTCCTGACTTTTGGGGCATTTAAGTCAGCCTGCACAAACAAGCCATGAAAATATCCCAAGGAGAGCTACATGACTAATGAAGATTTTCCTGCTCCCCAGCAGTTGCTTCAGCCACTTCTGCTGCCACTGGATGAGCACAACAAGGCCTTTCTACTGCGTGGTGCTCTGCAGGTATGACTAAATCTGCCTCTTACCTCCCCAAGTCCCCAGGTAGACTATCACGCCTCCATTACAGAGAGAATTCCACAGAATGAAAGAACCAGTAAGTGTTTCCTTTGGGCATCTCAACAGCATTATCACAAAATGCAGTAAAAGGCGTCAGAGTATCACAGAGTGGCTCAGCCCTGTCAGTGGCACCTGTTTGTAGAACACTCCCAACACTGCAGCCGTGTGCACCTGCCTGGAGGCATGGCCACAGCAGGACAGCCCATGGCTGACTGACCAGCCCTCTGCAGCATGACACTGCCTGCAAATGGACTGGTCCAGTGCAGCTCTCATTTCTGGTTTTGCCCTCAGCACAACCACGGCAGCAGAGGCGTGGAGTAACTGCTAGGCTGGTGGGGCAGGGAGAACTGCAGCACCTGCCAGGGCACACATGCAGGGACAGGGTGGAAAGGATGAGTTGTGTGGGTTTTAGATACATAATGATACAACTTTGGGGAAAACCCGAGCAAAGAGAGAGCAGGTCAGGAGTGAGAGGCGGCACTGGGACTTCATGCAAAACAGAGGAGGAGGGAATTCAGAACACTGAGCTCTGGTTTGAGGGGGTGTGCCGTTTGCCTCGTGAGGAAAGGTACCCCACAAAGTCCCACAGGCTCTGAAATGCACTCAATTAGCTGTTCCTTTTACCTTTTTGTTCTACCCAGCATTTCTTCAAGAGCACTGTCATCTCTGGCTTTGGCATCCTACTCATCATCTATGAATTCATGTTGCCGTTTCCTCCCTGAAAGGAAAAATCCCATAGTCAGTCATTTGCTACACAGAGGAAAGGACAAATCTGACAGTATTTTTGCCACTGTTAAAGTTCAAAGACCACCTTGCTTCTTGAGCAGACAACACTGCAAGTTGTCCTCTGGGCTATGGTGTCATTCAGCCATGATCAATCAGTGTGTGCTCACTCCAGAAACTTACCCCAAATTTACCTGAAAGCAGCTGAAAAGCTGTCAGTGCCTCAGCCCTGTCTGGAGAGAAGGAGCAGGGCAATGACTCGCTCAGACTAAAAAAATTCCCACAACAAGAAGAGAGACTTGTGCCAGGCAAATATCTTTATTTTACTTTAAAACATCCTAAAAGTGTTAATCTATATGAAAGAGAAGCAATACAAGACTGAGAAAGCATGTTTAATGTTAGGGAAGCTTCACATCACATCAGCCAAATTAAAAATAAGACTAAACACAAGTGTACAAAGCGGAGACAAAAAAAAAATCAATTTTCTCAAAGACATAATGTAAGGGACTCCCACAGGGGCCGGCAAATTCTGGAAGGGAGAAAGAGATTATATTTTATGGGAAGAGATTCAATAAGCATTCTTTTCCCATAAAGCTAGTGATGGAGGATTGTCACTGCTCCATAGATATCCCGTGCACATTTCAGGACAACAGTAACAGGAAATCAATAGCACCTTATAAACGTGCAAAGACATTATCTCTCTGGACTCCTAATACTAACAAATGGGGCCAAGAAACACCTTTACTAGAATTTAGCAGTCAGCATTACTCTGGCTGAGAACAGAGGGCAGGATGCTGGTCTACACCCTTAGATTTTTAGATATTTTTTCAAAAACTAACTCTGATCAGAGCATCACCCTCAAGTGGTGCCCAGGAGCCCCCAATGACAGTACATCACAAGTGTAACAGTGCTGAGCCCCAGCGCTGTCACCCCATCACAGACATCCCCTCCAGCTGATGCTGTAGTCATTACAGGCAGGAGCTTTGTCAGGGGGTAATTTGACAGCTTTGACAAGCTTGGCTGAATTTATGGCACTTTCTAGTTTTTCCCTCCATTGAGCTGTGATGGAACTAAAGTTAATATTACCAAACCCACTCGGCGAGGGGACAGGTTCCCAGCGCTGAGTCCATGATCACAGTCACTGAGAGAATCTGCTGCACTGGGCCCCTCACAGTGTCCCCTGCCACCCTCGGGGACAGGGAGGGCAGCTCCATCCAGCCACTTGTGAGGGGAGATTCCATGATGAAGGTCTCTGGTATCTCTGGCTCTACCACAGCAGAGGTGAATCATCACTAGTGAGGCTACTCACAGCTTACTAGAAAGCACTGAAGCAGCGGCCACGGTGTCACAGGTCAGACAACACATGCCCAGCTAAACCCAGGACCTGAATCCTGGGGACTGCTTCTCTTGCTGCAGGGACTGTGCCCCACACAGCACCACAAAGCCTCCACCTGCAAGTACCAGTGTGGGAAAAGGAATACTGCACCCCAAGCCAAACCTCGGCACGTCGGTAAAGCACAAACGAGTACTTTTGGTTTTTTTTCTTCCTTTTTCTTTTTCCCATCAGATTGCTTTTTGCCATTGATGTTACATTTCCTCTTTTATAATGCAGGGTTTTAAAGAGCTCTCTCTACATCCTTAGAAAGCACAGTTCATATTTAGCTCCCTAAACTCGTATTTCTCTCTTCCTATATTTCCCTGCCAAGATGTGACACCTGTGGAACGTTCCCAGAAAATTCCCCTGAATCATCTGTGATGCAAGGGAACAGCAGCCAGCGTTGGCAACAAGCAGCTGGGTCTTTCAGGAAAGCGTCAGATCAATCTGGTGAGGGGAAGGATCCCCAGTAACTCTGTCACTAATCATCCCCAAGGATCACAGAGCTCCCAAATCAGTTAGAAAAAGAGCATAATTACGACAGGACCAAAATCCATGGGAAATAGCGTTACCATGGCAACTGACATCCTCACAACTCTAATCTCCTTTGCATTCTTGCACAGGCTCAATGACTCTTAAACCACGTGGAAAAAAAAAAAAAAACCCTGTCTAGCAGGTGGGTTCATTGAGGAAAAGCAGTGCTAGAGGTGCTTCCCTGCAGAACAGACCCATTCCACATGGTTTTCAGAAAGGGAGCTTTTGTGCACCTCACTCACCAGGAGTGCAGAGGAGCTGCTATAACATAATCAATACTTCCTTGTTAACTACCCTTGTATCAGGGGGAAAAAAAAACCAACTTATTAAATATTAAAATGTTCCTGGTTTCAAATAAAAGCGACGTGAAGATAAAATCCAAAGCAGACCAGCTGCGTTTTGAAATGGGAATGTGGTTCCAGCTTCACCCTGGGCTGCACGGGTGTCAATGAGTGGTTTTTCAAACACTCCTCTTTACAGACAGCAGTACCCAAAAACCATTCCAGCATCTCCACATGCATATCAGATCCAGCCACTGGGCAACATCCATACATGAGCAGGAAAGGCCGTATTTTTCTTCCTGACAGCCTTATCACAGCGTTAATATCCAGTCTTCCACCAGCACGCTTTAAATGAGGTTCACCTTGACAGACCAGCTGGGCAGCCCTTTTGCCAAAATCTCTGAGCTCTGCACACTTTGGGGGCATTTCCCTTCCATTTCAGTACTGGTCGGGCCTGGGGAGTTAACCCACCACCAGGGAGGGCAGCACAGCCTGAACCACAGGGCCGTGTTCTCTACGCCAAAAGCCAAAGCAGCGCTATTGATCCAAGGGGAACTGCTCCAGATCTACTGGTGACAAACGAGCACACGCTCTGCCCACGGTGTGCCCTTGCCAGCCGCGCTGTGCCCGTGGCTCTGACATCGCCGAGCTCAGCCGGGCTCGCCTTCGGGTGCCGTCCGGGCAGATCTGCCCCGGGACCCTCCGCTGTACCGGGCTGCCGGACCTCCCCGCTGCCCTCCGCCAGCCCCGCCGGAGCCGGGGAATAGCGACTCACGGAATAGTGACTGGAATAGTGGATGGTGGTGACAGCACGGTTTGGAAATCGCCCTCTGGTTACGGGGAAGAGAGGCCTCGTGGCAGCGTCTGTACCTACAGGTCCCGTCAATGACCGGAGTGAGCGACTGCCCTTTAGGCAGGTACCGAGGGCCCTGCGGCACCGAGACGGGCACCGGGAGAGGAACGGGGGACAGGCACCGGGAGAGGAACCGGGGACGGGCACCGGGAGAGGAACCCGGGACGGGCACCGGGAGAGGAACCGGGAACGGGCACCGGGAGACGAACCGGGAACGGGCACCGGCGGTCGCGATCGCCCTCCCTCCCGCTATCCCCCGGGAGCGGGGCTGACGGAGGCCCTGGGCACCCACGACGCTGCCACAGCGGTCGCTGGAGTACGGAGCGACCGCGCCGGCAAAGACGCGTCAGAGTGCTGGGGCGAAGAACGAGGGGTACGTGGCCGGAGCGGAGCACGGCAGAGCCGGTGGGTGCCGGCGGGTGCCGGTCCGCACTCCCTCCCTCCCTCCCTCTCTCGCTCTCTCCCTCAGTCCCTCCTCCCTCACTCACCCCTCGCCGCCTCCGCCGCCGCCGCCGCCTCCCGGCTCGCGCGCCGCGCACACGCACGCGCACACGCGCGGAGGGGCAAGGAGGGGAGCGGTGCCCGCGCGCGTGCGCGGGAGGTCGGACCGCCGGGCCGCCGGGGGGCGCCGCAGCGCGCGGCGCGGGGTGAGAGGTCGGGACGATGGCGGCGGCCTTGGGCGAGGAGGCGCCGGACAACGAGGACTACTACGGGCTGCTGAACGTGCGCCGTGAGGTGCGGCCGCGGGGCCGGGCGGGGTGAGGCGAGGCGAGGCGAGGCGAGACCAGACCAGACCCTCGTGTGCGCCCGGCGGGAGCGCCGCCCCTGCGGCGTGTCCTCCGCCCGGGCCGGGCGGCTGCCGCCGGCGGCGGGGCGGGAGGGCTCGGCCCGGGCCGCGGAGCTCCCGGTTGAGTGAGACGGGTGAGCGCCCGCTGAGGCGTGAAATGCGTGGTTTGCTCCGAATCGCGGCGGTTTGGGCGCTGCCGGGGCGCTCCTGATGCAACTGCGCTCACGCGGGGCGCAGCCGCGTCCCTCGGGCACGGCTGTGGAAGCTTCCCGAGCCTTTCCAGTTTGGAAACAGCCAGGGGTTTTTTTGCAAAACGTTTTTCCCTCCAAAAAAGGAGGCTCGAGAATCCTTGATTTCACTTTTAAGAATTTGTTACGCCGGAACAGTTTGGAACTTATTGGGAGATAACTGCTTTTTTTTAATAGTAATTATTAGGTAGATCTACAAAGATCTGGATGTAGGAACTGTGCTGTAGTTTGTTTCAGCGAGTGCAGCTGCAATATAGATCTGTTATATGTGTTTGTGTGTGCATAAATATGTATAAAAAGCCCATCAAGTCCATCAGCCTGGGTGTAGCCATTGTAGCTGGACAAGGCTCGTACAGAACCACCACTGCTGCGTGCAATAGGATATCCAGACTTGGAAGCCATTCAGCCTGATAGCTTGGAAGGATTCCCTTTGGAACTCCTGTCAGTCCCTGAGCTGCTGGGACAGTCTCCTGTGCCTCATGTGTAGGAATTGGCTGCATTCCTGAAGGAACATCGTGTGGTGGTCACACTGTTTGCAGAACTCCCTGATGCTGAGCTCCTTTTAAAAAAAATTTCGAGCCCTCATCGGGTTTAAAGCCGGCAAGGCCATGCTTGTACATTCCTTGGGAGCTTTCGTAATTCCCCTCCAAAACGTCAGCAGCGTGCAGAGGTTAAAACAGAGAGGTGGGAACCACGCAGGGGTTGTGACTGCTGGGGAAAGTTTAATGGTTAACTTAGCCAGGCTTCCAGAGCAGGACATTCAGGTTTTGTACAGCGGGGAGCTGGAAACTGAATTAAAGGGGTCTGCAAAGGAGTAATTCCAACAGAGAGGAGTGGGGCTTTGTTAATTGCCCTTTGCTAATTATTTTTAGTAGTATTGTCCTCTAGTGGATATGGTGAACAGCATGTCTGGGTGCTGAGCACAGTGATGTGGCAGCTGAGCTTGGAGCTGCAGGGATCCCGTGGAGGATCCTGTGAGCAGGAATTGCTCTGTGTGTGTGAATGATTCATCTTTTAGACATGTTAGTCTGCTAAAAACGTGGTGCTGTGTTTGAGACCTTAAATGAGGCCTTTTAATGTTGACCAGTGTTTTGGTAATAAAAATGTAGCTTACATGCTGTTATTTGTGACTGCATTTCCTGGCAGTCTGAAAACGATGTCAGGGTTTCTTTAGTGGTTTTGAAGAGGCTGTTGCTCATGGAATATTGAACCAATGACCCAAACTACTCAGTGATGATGAAATGCCCAATCTAACATTTTATTGAACATGGCATTTATGAAAAATGAACCTGCTCATTTCTATTATATAATCAATAGCACATTAAACCATTTATCATTAATTTGATTTAAAAATGCCATTTTGGGCCTATATGTTCCCCTGCCTTCCTTGTCGAGTTTAAATTTGATATCCGAGAAAGCACAAGATAGTAAAAAGAAATAAGTTAATTGTAGATGTCTTACTGTCTTGGGACCAGCAAATTTGGCAACTCCCCTTTTGATGCATCATTTGAAAACATTAACAAACAACAATACAGCGTGCAGAAAAAACATTCCGAGCTGTCCTCAAATCCGAACGGATTCCTGGCCCTCCTTGCCACAAGTGGTAAAAAAGATGTCACTTCAAGAAATTATTTCCCCAGTGAAAGCTAGGAACCTGTGACAGCTTTGCTTCTTGAAAGGTGTTAACAGTAAGTGGAATTTGTTTCTGTAAATCCAGTCCTGTCTGAGTGCCCCCCTCACTGACTGCACTGGGTCCTGACTGTGGCAGCCCCTGGGGACAGCCTGGACCATCAGGTTTTGGTTATTTTACTCTGGATGTTCCTCCTGGAATGGCTTCCTGTGCCCAGGAACTGGTTCTTGCCTGGACAGTTTGGGAACTGGATGGTTGGGCTCTTTCAAGCTCTGCCTCGGGGAAGTTCTGGCTGATTTTAGCAACTGCACTTCTGAAAAGCAGGTGTTAAGCAATCTCCAAGGAATGGGCAGGAAGGAACTGCAATGCAAGGCATGTAGCAGGGTGAGGTGAGAGAGGGGAGATTACCAAGACTCTCTGGAGTCCAAAAATAACATTGCTGGGAGATGATAATGGAAGGAGCAGGGGTTTTTCCCTATTGATTCTGAAAGAGCCATCCATGTCCTTGGAAGGAGGCCAGGTGCCATCTGAGGTCCCAGAGCGGTTGCAGAATAGGACAAGGCAGGTTCATTCTTGATGATTTTGGTGGCACACTGTTCTCATGGTTCTCTGTCTGTGCCTTTGTTGGACAGATGATGCACCTTCCTCCTTCACAGCACAACTGCTGGGGAGCAGAATGGGGAGCACAAGGCAGGTGCTGGGATGAGAGCAGAACCATGGGTTTACATTTCTTACCTTTACAGCTGTGGAAAGTCTGTGCTTTTGGAAAGTTGCAATGTCCCCTTGAGGGTTAAGATTGAAATATGAGTAGAATTTGTTGTAGATCTCTGGATTTATGTATTTTCATCTGAGATGACTTTGCTTTTTCCTGCTCTTCTGATTTGGAGGGGATAGTAGTTGCCTAATACAACTAAAGTCTGAACATGAGTGGTGGGGTTTTACATAATTTTTTTATACCTGGGTATGCACTGATGAGCTATTGAGGTCCCTTGTTGCACTACAGATAACATGGACAATCCTGGTGTGATAATTGAATATTTTATTAACTTATGTCGTGAAGCAATAATCCATTCTTGATTTCGGTCCAAAGTAGTGCAGTGTAACAGCAGACAGACTTCCCTTTCAGGACTGATCTTGAGAGTGGCCTTTTGGAAATGGCATTGGCTGTCCTTGAGTTGATTGTTGGTGGTTTCTGTTCCACAGGCCTCCCAGGAGGAGCTGAAGGCCGCGTACCGCCGGCTGTGCATGCTGTACCACCCCGACAAGCACCGCGACCCCGAGCTCAAAGCCCAGGCTGAGCGCCTCTTCAACCTTGTCCACCAAGCGTATGAAGGTCAGGGGGAGGCTGAGCTTTGCAGGGGGTTTCTGGGGGAGCTGTGTCTTCGTGCTTTTTGGAGCTGTTTGTTACTACAAAGTAATAATTAAATTTGCTTGTGCTTAACAATGCTGTTTCCTGCTTCTGTACCATAAGGCAGAGAAATGCCGTATGAATGCTGCAGGGAATGAGATGTGGAGTGTCTGTCTTACCTCCTGCATGTTGTAAATGATCTTCTCATCACTTCCCATACTTCTGAAGACCTCTTCCATAGGAGAATAAAGGCTGAAAAGCTTCAAATAGAGATATAATTTCATATTGTACTGATGCATCCCTGGCTTGTGTTCCCTGTCACCTGGCTGTGGTCTCCATTTCTAGCAAGTTCTTCTATATGCTCTAACTGAGAGGAGGACAACTGATTCATAGCAGTTAGTTTATTTTTGTGCCAAAGCCCTTTCCAAATACTCTGAGTTAAACTGAAATTTACTTTAATCCTTTTGTGCAAGTTGCACCTGGAGTGCAGATGGATTAGAATGGTAGGAGTCATCCATGTTACAAACCTGGTGCACCCAGTAATGGAGCTAAAGAGAAACTAAAGCAAAATGGTGAATAAATATTCCCCTATTCAACCTCAAATATGAGTGACTATTTTTTGCACCCCTGGTTTTGACTGATAAGCATTTGTTCCTTCCAGTTGAACTTGAGCATGTGTGGAGTTTTTCCTGTTGTCCCTAGGCTGGGTGTTAGGACATGTGGAAGGTTTTGCTGGGAGAGCAGGGAATGTCTGACCTTGATGATGTGCGGAACAAAAAGTCCTAATGCTTCAATAATTTCATTTTAGTGTGATGAGTGGCCTTACATTAGAGGCAGCAGCTTCCCTTTGAATATTCTGTCTGCTCTTGGCTCTGCCTTGCAATGAACATGGAAGTTGGTGCTTGTTTAGTACCAAATGTGAGTGTAGTATGTTACAAGCAAAAATTTTGACATCTTGGAAATGAGCCACTCCGCCTCCTCTCTATTTTCTCTTTCTCCTCTTCCACCTCTTAGTATCACACAACAAAAGATTCATTTTATCAGAATTCATAAAAAGCAATGTCTGCCTGTGACATTTAACAAGTCCAATAATATTCCACTAGTTCAGACCAAAACTCAATTACCAGTATAAGCCTCTTTTTGCCTTACTATACTCCCCCAGCTCCCTGGGGACACATCAGTTATCCCACAGCCTCAAGAAATACATGATCATGATAAAGCTGGTCTTAGAACCCTGGAGGAGGAAATAGCAATGATTTTCTGATTTATTTTTTTTTACAGAAAGATGTGTTTAGGAGCTTATGCATTTAAATATGCCTTACCCTTTAGAGACTGTTCCTAATTCTGTGCCTAGTCTTTTTCTAAAGTAACTGTTCTGCAGTCTCCTGTTGTGTTTTGTGTTGTCCATTGTGTTGGGTGGCATTTTGGGAGGTTAAATTCTACATACACCTTTGCTATTATCCTTTACTGATGTTTGGTAAGGTGTGAACTGCCTTGTGGAAATTGCTTTGTTGGTGCTTGGCAGGTACCATGTGTGGGGACTAGGTGGGAAAGGATCAGTGGAC